AGAGAGAGAGACAGAGACAGAGAGCCAGTGACAGAATCGAAGTTTAAAGTTTAAGGCTTAAGGAGTTTAAGGCAAAGAGAGACCTGTCCTAAACAAACCATATAGTACCATATACCCATAGCAGTAGTCAGTAGCCGTAGCCGTAGCCGCCGTAGCCATAGATGCAATAGGAATAGTGGATAGTTGAATAGATACGGCTCAGCTAAGTAGCAGGTAGCAGAAGCAAAAGCCAAATGCGCTAAGCAGCGAGTCACCTTCGGCTGCGCCCCTGCTTGCAACACTGCGGCCAGTTAGGGTTTAGGGCGTTTAGGGCTTTAGGGTTAAGTTTAGGGTTGAGGGTTTAGGGGTCAGGGTTTAGGTTAGGGCTTAGGGCCAAGGCTTAAGGCTTAAGGCCTAGGGCCTCGGGTAGCATCAAATTGGAGTATCAATGGCTGAACTTTCGTCTTAAGCTGATTGGGCATGTTAATTTGGGCTGAACTTGGCTGGACCCCTACATCAATGCGCCCGCAAACCTGAAACCCTGAAACATAAAACCTATAGGACCCGTATACTATAGACTCTCTACTATAGACTCTAGTCACTAGTCACTAGTCATTGAACACGACACGATATACTATACTATAAATCCTAAAATCCCAAAAATCTTGAGTCTGCCGTCTAGAGTCCAGACACCCTAAATAGTATACTACAGAGCTGGTTTTCTAGATGCTGCTAAGCCATTAAGCCCCTGGCCCCGAACCAGAGGGATCATAAACCCGAAGCGTAATTCTACATTTCCTCAACCAAACCGCAAACAACCCATACCGGTACCATGGTATCCTTGGCCCAAACTCCTGCGCAGCCCTTCACCCTATAAGAACAGAGCCTAGATTACCTAGACGACAGGCCCCAGGCCCCAGAGCTGAACCCTGGCCCTAGACCCAAAACCCTGAGCTACTTGCCTCAGGACCCTCATCCCTACAAGGCCCTACATTGCCCTACATACCCCTGCGCACTACACGCCCTACGCAACCCCTGTTGGTGGACATTGCGGCACTATACTATAGTATATTATAAGTCTATAAGTATACGTAAGGGCAACGACAGTTACTGATAGTTGGTGAATGTAGGAAACCTCATGTGATCGCTCGAGTCGCTATAGACTATAGAGTCATAGAGTCATAGAGCTTGCCACGCCTGCTGAATCGTTTGACACCGACCTGCATCCTCGAGCGTGTAAATATCCTTCCTGAGGAAGAGCAAGTAGTACCTGTCACCGGCAGGAGGGGTTTCGGTGCACATGCTACTTGCTGCTTGACTTCTTCCCAACTCCACAACACAGCAAAGAAGAGAGGCAGCTAGCAACTAGACGCTGGATTGCAACAGGCAGCTTGACTAGACTAGATTGCTGCTAGACTTTCTAGGCTGGACTCTTAACCTTAGTCTTGTCTTAGTCGTCGACTTAGACAAATCTCTCAGGAACTCGAAAGCGAATGCTGCAGAAAGGAACATCCTTTTTTTGGCATCCACCGCCCGCAACGGTGCCAACAAGTCTCAAGTCTACCGGATGACGTCTGGTTCCTCAGCCTCGTTGGCCTCCCTCGCACGCTCATGCTGCAAGATCAGTTCTGATCCCGCCACAGCTTTGAACTCGTTGCGGGCAGCTACTCGCTGCGACTTCCTCAAGAAGCTCACGCAATCCTTGTGAGCTTCCGCGGTGGAATGCTCGAAGCTTTGTTTCAGCCATGCTGCTAAGAGTCCTACCGGACGACCTTGTCCGAGGTTGCCAAAATTGGTTCTGGCTTGTCCTTTCACAGTGCGTGTTCTCTTGCAGTCTGCATGGGCTGGGTTGCCGCAAACGGCAATGATGTTGCGTGTGGGGATGTTGTACCTCAAGTCCCCAAAGCCATCGAACGTAACAGAGACATCTGTGTATTGCTTCACTCGGGCCACGCCGGACCCAGGGCGCCTTGCAGGCTCACGGGAGGCAGCAGCGTCTGCCGCCGCAACCGCAATGGGAGGAGCAGGAGGCACCTCCGGCGCAGCACGGCTGCTCAAAGGCCCTGCTCTCACAGTTTCCTCCTCGTTGTTCTCATCATCTTCATGTTCAAGGATGGAAGCTATGGAAACTTCGGAACCATTGCCGTCCGACTCGTGGCCCGACTCAGACGCGGCCTGCTCCTCCACATCTACACCCCACTGATTGTTGGCAGCCTCTTCGCCAGCGAGCTGGATAGCTTCCTGGATCTGTGGCTCCTCCTCCTGCTCACCAGCATCTGCAGCGCCAGCGACAGCCTCACCATCGTCAACTGGTGGCCTTTCACCAGATGAAGCTGCGGGTTTTGCTTTTGCTGCGCGCTTCACCCGCTTGGCCTTTGGTCGGGCGCCTGGGGGCGCCTTGCGCTTTCTGCTTTTGGCTGCCTCCTTTCGATCCACTTCCTCGTTGGCAGCGCCTTTCCACACGCGGAGGGTTGGAAGAGGAACAAACTCACTGACGAGCACCCAATTCGGGCACATGGCATCATTGGCTAAAGCAGCACCATTGGACAAAATTCTGAAGAATTTTGCCGTCCATTGCACACTCAGAGAGAGCTCTCGAAACAAGAACAACCCCGTCTGAAACTGGGCCGGTCGCGGAACTTCGAGCCTCGTGTACACCTGACCAGACTCATCTTCCTGGTTGCCAGCATTGACCAAGCGCAAGCCAGCCATGAACCAATTGCTGAAGTTGACGTATGCCATGAGGTACCATACTTCACGCACAATGGGCTCCTCTACGACCCTCAATCCCATTGATGCTCGTTTGGCTGCACCGGCCCACGATGAATCTGTCTCTGCCACAGCGGGAACCTCCGAAGGCCAAACACTGAACTTGACGACCACAAAACCCTCAACCATCAGCTTCCTCCGGGCAAGCACGCTCTCCCGGTCCTTCTTCTGTTGCTGACTAAGCTGCTGCCCCTTCCTTTGACTTCTGGGTGTGAAGAGGGGCTTCACCAAGCTGACAAAGCGTCGGTGAAAGTGCAATGCTTCTAATCCAACACCCTGACAGAAGCATGCGCCAAGCTGCGAGCACAAAGTGGGTTTGGAACCAGACGGTTCCGTCACAGGGAGGCACTCGTCCGCAGACAGCATCTCGTGTCTCTTCACCCACTCTTCCCGTAGTTTTTGACGCATGCCCGTTCTCTTTGACGTGACCCGCTCCATCGCAGCCTGCGCAAGTTGCTCGGCAGGCAAGTGGATGTCCATGCTGGGGCACAGTGCCGGAATTCGGCGCGAATTTTGAAGCGTCTCCCCGCCAGCAGCATCTTGCCACCAGCGCGAAAGGTCTGCGCACTCACCCTGCTCAGCTGCGTACTCCTGAAGACAAAGACGGCGCCTCTGGTCCAGGTGCTTTCTCTCTCTGGCTTCGTCATTGCAATGCTGTCTCACTAGCGCCAGACTTTCATCCAAACCTTCCACTGCTGCGTCAGCTGCCCACTGCACGATCTCTCCGGCACTGCTGCTATCACGCGCAGTGATAGATTTGGTTGCCTGCCTCTTCGGGAAAGCTTGGAACCCGCGCAGGGCAGATGCTCTGGCGACCTGATACGTTCGGGTCAAACAGAAACCTAAAAAATCATTGAGGTTCTGGTCAAAGGTGCGCCTACTGAGAACAATCTGCCCATACACCCATAGGCACATGCAATGAAGAAACATCAGCGGTTCTTCAATCTTGAAAATCATCAACCGCTATAAACTATAAACTATAAACTAGAACTATTTGTCGCTACCGCTACAGATCGACCTTAGAGGCCCTAGGGCCCTAAAGTACAATCAAAATGAGTTGTCTACCACCGCTACTACGAACTACTGGTTACTAGATTACTACAAGATACTCATAACCACAACCATAACGGCCATAACGTAATAATATTGGTAAACTAATTCCTATCTGCCTGGACCTAATGGGGCGGCTACCATTTCTACAGGCCGTGACTTCACACAGGCATGGTGCTAGATTCTGTACAAAGGACTTCAGCGCTGACAACAAAAACATTTCTTTGATACAGGGCCCTCCAAATCTTTGTTACTGGCTGAAGCGGCTAGCTTGTTGAATCAAGCAAGAAACATGAGGCTGCTTCCATGTTGCACTGTTACACTGTTACACCTGCTACACTGTTACCCTGTTAATTCCACATCCCTGCCTGGCCACGCTCCTCATAGTACTGCCGATCGCGCTCGCTGAGGGAAGCGTACTCTGCAGAAAGGGAAGTGAAGGCTGAAGCCGAGAACTTAGTAGTGCACTTTTCATTCAAGAACGCTCGCCAAGCCCATCCCCATGTCGGGACCTGCCGTGGCTTGTCGCTGATAGTCTTGCTCTTTCTCTCTCTCGCCCGGCTCTTGGAAGCTGGCTCATCACGGTCAAGAAGGTTTTCCTTGTGCAGATGGTTCGACCGCAAAGCAAACTCTGCAGAAATGCGCTCAAGATTCGGCTTCGTCGTCTGTACGGACTTGGCGGTGATGACTCTCCGGTTGGCGGAGTGCACCGATTCTATTCGAGCGATGTCCAAGGTGAGCATGCTCGCCAACCCAATCAAAGTTGATTGCGCCTCTGGCCCCAGTAAGTCTGCCGGTGTCGGAAAGGTATCTAGGATCGATTTGGACATGGAGCACAGCACACAACCAGGCTCGTTCGTCACATCTGTTTTCCCGAAGCAGACCTTGAACAGCTTCACCGGGTAGGCCTGCCATGACAACGACAGGTAGTGCGTTGCGCACGAGCCCACGACAGCCAGCAAACGAAACATCAACACTTGATGCACTCGAGTCTTCCCAGAATTCGACAACGCAGTGAGAGGGGCGTGAAATTGATCATCCAAACAGCGGTGAAAGGCCTGCAGAGCGGTCCCAGCACATGCCTCCAGAACCACGTACGTTCTCTTGCTAGTTTGGGCAGCATTCAATTGCTGCGCACGCTCCCACTCAATGCCTGACTTCCGCAAGAGGTCAGCCAGCAGCATCAGTGGCCCCTCCATGGCGCTTCGCAAAATAATCAGCACATTGCCCGGCTTGGACCTGGCCCACGAAATCATCCTCAAACGCAGCTGGCGATTGTATTCCTGCCAGTTCGCATCACCAGTGTGAGATGTTTGTGCGTTGCCAGCTGCTGCATCTGCGTCAGCATCATCTGGAGCGTGCGCTTGCTGCTTGGGGCGCTGGATGGCATCGCCATCCGGAAAGTCTCCAGAAGCTTCATCACGCGAAGCATTCATGCCCTCGCTGCTTGCTGCTCTGTAGCCGTCTGCAACATTGCCCCAGCCAGCAGTTGTTCTAGTTGGCACGGCCGGCAGATCCATGTTCGTCTTCGTGAACAACATAATCATTGGCTCCAGCAAGTTGTGCAGTGATGCCAGAAGCCCCCACTCCTCCACTGCTTCTTGCGCCCCACACCAGCTCTTTCGACTGAACACACAAGGGCGCCCAGGGAGAAGCGTTGGCACCAAAAACTGCTTCATTGCTGCCAGCACAGCACCTGGCGGCAAATCCAGTGTAGGGTTGAAGTGCTCTACGTGATTCTCGTCGCGTGTGTCACCATTCAAAAACCAAGCGATGACAATGCGCTGCAGAAGTCGCCGCCGCCTGCGCTTAGTCATCAGTCCAGGTTCTATCACGCGCAATTCTCCCAAGAACAAATCCAGGAGCATCTGCAACCTCTGCTTCACTGAGCTGTCATCGCTCGGCGGAGCCGCACAAACGACAACGAGTTTGTCCTCCAATACCTGCGTGAGAGCCTGCCGTAAACGTGCTGTGCCCCCAGCATGCTGGACAGACAGCGCGCTGTAAATCATGGCACTCACATGCCCATCCAGCAACTTGTACTGCTTCGAACATATGGTGTGGGCTCTGTGCACGTCACACGCGTAATGGCTCCGCGTCCAGCAACCCGTGTCTTCCTCACAAAGCGCCGCCTCGGCTGCAAAGTTTGCACTGTACGAATCGGTGTTGATCAGTGCAAGCCTGAGTCTGCTGGCGTCGGCGAACTCTGTGAGCTTCGGTATCAAACCTTCCAATTCTCTTTGCGCGGCCACGATCAAACTGGACGTGTTTCGCTCGAGCACTTTGAGCGGTGTCGGCAGCCAGCATCTTGCGAAGGCAACTTGGCGGGTGGAAGTATTCTGCAAGAGGAAGGCAACAGAAAGTTCGGACTGCAGAAGTTTCACCACGGAGCCCTTCTCGCGCGTTCCATCTCCGTGCTTGATGTTGAGCCTGCAGGGTGTCTCGTCGTAACGACGTTTCTTGATTACCATGAGCAAGTTGTAGTGACCCTGAGCGAGGCCCTCCAGTATCCTGTCTAGCACTGTGCCCATGAGATAGCCACTGCCCAGGACTAGACAGCAAGCAGCATCACTCTGCAACCGGACCAATGTTGAGCGATCCTTGTCCAAAGCATCAGCCTCGGCCACAGTAGTTGTAACCTTCCGCGCACGCTGCACACAAGATGTCAGAGCCTCATCCACCGGTGTGTCAAAAGGAACACCTTGGGACGCTGCGTGCACAATATCCTGCTGCAACTGGGATCCCATCTCCTTGCAAACCAACTGCATCCGTCTAAAATTGTCCTCGCCGGTCTGCACATCTCCAGCAACTAGCCCAACAACTTTAGGATTTGCGGCACGGGCAACAAGTATTGACCTCTGTGGAGGCTGTGGCACTTCTTGGTTATGTGCTTCTTCTGCGGCTTCTTGCTTGGCACGCCGCGCAATCGCTCTGAAGGCATGTCGGCCTTTGGGCTTCTTGGTCTTTGCAGCCCTGTCTGACTCAACTTGCTGCGCAGCTTTTTGTCGGGATTGTTCCAGCAAGCGGGAAGCCAGTCGAGCCCAGCCCATGACCCCTGATGAACATGGCCCGGCTTGCAGGACGATTCTACTCCGATTCTACTCTATTGATTCTACTGACTGCTGCACTGAGTGCACTTCAACGGAGTTAGTTAGTTTCTTAGTTAGTTAGTTAGTTAGTTGGTTAGTTGGTTAGTTAGTTAGTTAGTTAGTTGGTTGGTTGGTTGGTTAGTTAGTTAGTTAGTTAGTTAGTTAGTTAGTTAAATTTCTGCGTGCGTTTATTGCACCAAGGATGAGGGGCTTGCTTTTTATCATATACCATAAGCCGTGGGGTACCGGCTTTTGCCAAATGATGCCTCATGCGTTGCCCTCTGGGTGAGTAACAAGACATCAGCACATTTGGTGGACCTGAAATCCTGAAATGTTGGGCCGCTTTTGCTGGCGTGGCACACAAAGCAACTGTCGCATCAGGGCTGCACGAATGAATGGAGTTGAGTGCAGCAACCACAACTTAACCTCTCAAACTACGCTGCACGAATCTGATCATGCACCTTAACTAGGCCAGCCTAACCTGCTACCAAACCTGCCACCTGCTACCTGCCTTTGTGAGTATGAGTAAGAGTAATGAGTAATGAGTATTGAGCATTTCTGCGTACGATGGGGCGGCGTGACTGTCTCCAAAAAATCGAACATCATGAAAAGCAATCGTTCAAAACCGCTCAGCAAACAACCCTGTACAGCCCCAGCAGAAACCCACTTGGCGCCTCGGACGTCTCAATCGAATCCATTTGTCGTAGTGCAGCAGGCTCACGAGGATGTGGTAGCCAGGGGGGCTGCACTCGCGCACAACCCTCTCGCAGAACCTGCAACGATGATGGCATGAATGAATTGCGCACCCGCTTCGCGCTACTTGCCCACCCTACCTACAACCTACCTGTCACGCAAGGGATAACGTAACTAACGTTGGTCCTTCCCATCTCCTGATTGCTGACCTATGGCTATGGCGCAAACTGAACTTCTGCTGATCCGCGCATCCTACCTACCTTCCTACCTGCCTGAACCATCAAGCGCAAAACTGCTACACGAGTGAACCCAAACAACCCCCACACTACGTAGCAGGTTAGGGGCGCAATCAAGTGACCCGCCTGTGCAAAGGAGATGTTGCTTCTCCAGCTTCCTGCACACCGAAGCCTTGTACTTGTTCGAGCACAATGGCCCGATGCACACCAGAGCGGATGGCATTAAAGGCATCCGTCCATGTTACATGGAAGGCCTCATGGTCTTTGACTTGTCCTGTTGCTGCTCGTTTCGTCCGTTGTGTGGAAAAAGGAGGACAAGGAGGGCCAAGTACAAATAAATCTGAATTGGGCACGTCACATGCCCGACTGCCTGTGTGCAGAACACAAGCGCTACCTGCATTTTGCTCATGGAGTGTCGTATGGTAGTGCTGTGCCGTGAAATTTGCCTCCAAGACAGCCTTGCACACGTTGCTGCTGTCGCAGGCAGCTGCCAAACGAAAAGGGATTCCAAGTTCCTGCCGCAAGGGGAATGTGTGAGACTGAGTTAAGATATGCTAGGTCTGGATTACGGTTACGAAAGGGAAGGATGGATGGAAAAAGCAGATGCTTGCAGAAGGCGATTTACAATCCAACGGGTTCTGTTGAGGCTTGTGAATGCATCCATGCGCTGCGCTAAATCCAAGAAATGAATCTGAGTAGAGTCGAGTAGATAGTAGAGTTAGTAGAGGGTATGAAGTAGAATAGCGTACTGGGTATTGAATATTGAGTGCCGTACTTTGATGTTGCCAGTAAACTCCAACCGCTCTTGGGTCTCCGTAGTCTACAGCCTGGGGTCAGGCCTAGAGTCTAGAGTCTAGAGCCTAGGTAGCCAGGTACAGGTAGAGTAGATTCGGTAGTTGGCTGACAAACACGGTCCTGAAGCACGTGACACTCTGAGGCTAGGCCAGTGCAAGCGCTGCTCACAAGAAGGGGCTCGTTCCGCGCCACGCCACCGGTCTGGAGACCAAGGCAACGAGCAAAACGCTTCAAATCAAAGGCCCACCAGACCTGAGAGCTCCAGCTTTGCAAAAGGTACACCAGGTACAGGGTCAGAGCGTCTCAGTCTACGTCTACGTCTTCTGGACACTACTCCACTCCACTCATGTGCAGCTGTAGGACATCTGACGTCTGCGGCGATTTGGGTACAGTCACGCTCGACTGGCTGGAATCTACAGAGAGAGAATCGCCCTGACATCCATCATCTTCATCAGAACTCGAAATTCTGTACGCATCCGCCTCTTCCACTTCCACAGCTTCAGCTTCTCTCTGGCGCAGTGTTTCTGACTGCAGTCTATGGCACAGTGCCGCCCAACCATTGCCAGCAGCCATCGTTGCGAGCTACGAGACCTAGTAACCTAGTAACCGTAACCTAGTAGGACCTAGTTAGTAACTCTAGTAACTAACCAGTAGTAATTGAGCAACTATGATGCCACTGGACGAAGCTCTGAACCAGGGCGAGTGCCGAAATTCATTGAATGCATCCAGGGTCTGCGACACGCCTATGGCATATGGACCTGGCTTTGTTTATAGTTCATAGTTTATACAGTTGCCAGAATCATAATGTCATAGTGTCAGAGGGCATAGGGCCATAGGGAGAAGCCAGTAAAAACAAATTAATGGTGCCTTGGGATGGTTCAAGAAGCTTTCATGGACACACTGCTATTGAAGTGTCCGCCTAGTGACCTAGGGACCTAGGGACCTAGTGGAAATTGCAGGCCTCGCTCACCAAGCCCCAGCAACGGAAAACAACTGCAGTTGGCAACAAGGCACGCAACCGAAAGGGAAAATCTCAGTGCGCTGCTACCTGCTACCAGTACCAGGTATGAGGCTACAATGTTACAATTCTGAAACTAAAACCAGATACTATTTCAGGTCTTGCATCTTGCGTCTTTTAATACTTGCGCTCTACCTACCCAACTGCTGACTGCAAAATGACCCCAGTCAGCGCAAACAGACCCCAGAGCAATCGCGACCGCGACGCGTGTCACGCTGTGACTTTTTTCTAAGTCACTTTATGACTTTTTTCTAACGATACTCGTAACCTGTTTTGTAACTTCAACCAAACCACCTTCCAGGACGTGTGACTGCCATTGTGATTTTTTCTGATTTTTTTGTTCATCCCCAACAGATACAGAAACTAGCTTATGAGATCGACTTAAGTTTAGGGTTTAGGTCTGGAGTTTAAGGCAAGGTTTGGGGTTGCGGGGAGATTTGGGAGCTGAAAGGTTCTGCTCTATGCAGGCCTAGTACGAGACACTGGTGATATATGTCGTGACAATTTTGCCAAAACTACACGAAATTATGTCACCGGAGTTTCCCCTACCTAGCTTAAGGTGCATCTCTATATGGAGAGTGAGATGGAAACGAAAATGGAATCTGAAATGAAAACTGGTAATATAGTTACAGTGCTTTGGAGGCTTGAAGCATTCTAGGGACTGCGTCAGTGGATCTCCAGAACAATCTCTCTGTACTCCCCTACATAACACTTCCTATAGTCCTATAACCCGCCCGCTGCAGCACCAGCATGTCGAACTCAGGGGCATGTTGTTGAGGCAAAACTTAGCTACTTATCTTTCATTCATGCCGTGGAAGTCTCTAGGACTCGAGTCAGAACGATGATGCGCATGCTCTAGGGGTCTTGCCGATATGCTCGCGGGTTTATATGCGAGAACCTCTGTCATTGCTTGAAGAAACCATGCTGAAATTAGGCGTGATAAGGGGCATGAACCCCAGTAGCATCCCCTACATGATCCCCGACAATTCAAGCGTTTCCATGTTCCGCTTTGCATCATGAATTCCATTCCTTCTTGCCTGCAAACCACCAGGCCCAACACCCAACACCCTGCCCCAAACTAAATCCGATACTCCCAACCACAAGTAGGCCTGGTTCTGCGTTGGCCACTTCCTGCACATCATCTGGCGTCCTCGCGCCAGACTTCCAAAAGTGAGTTACGGGCTTATCGAAGTGAAGCAAGATTTTACCTGGATGTTCACAAGCTCCCAGGGATGTGTCAGGTTCTACAAGGATTAACAGCGATTTGCAAGCTTTCAACAGCATGTCGTATCTATCAAAGGGTGGGGTCCCCTTTCTATACCGCAACATATTATCATCCTGATTTCCAGGAACCGCAAGGGGGCCCCTACTTTAGGAAACTCCCATCTTCAGGGAAATTCTTAATTAGCCCTGTGCGACTGATTCATTCACAGGGTGGGTGTGATTATAATCACAGTTTGTGGTTGGGGAGTTTGTCGAAAAAAAAAGGTGCCCTTGGCAAACCCAGGGATACGCGGGGATTATGTAGGGATTACAAAGGGTCCCTATTGGGGGTTGTCGGGCTTATGTTAAGAGGCTGTCATGTAGGTCTCCTTTTTGGGATGCGTTGGCGCGATTTCGGACACTTGCCCATCGTGAATCTTTCAGAGCCCAAGACAATCTGAAGGCTTCTGGAATGAAAATCTTAGCGCGCAGCCCTTGCACCCTCATACTGCCGTTTAAAACCACCTGAACCCTATGCCCTAAACCCTCACGCGAAAACCAATAGAATGGAGTTCCATTCATTAAGAGGTTACACGCTGACGGACCGTGGAAGACGAAACTGGGAAAAGGTCTCTTCAAGAGCTTCGGAAATTGAAGCACTCACATAGACTGCCATGTTTTCATGTGCGGCCAGCCAACCACACAAAGCACCCGAGACCACAACCTGCAGATTTCTCCGGGGATTTCTCAGTGCTCTTCGTTTCTGTGGCCGTTGACATCATCTTGCAAGGTGGCTGCGTCAAACTGGGACGTCCTGTACTGGGCATCCAAAACCTTTGGGCGGGACGAGGATTGGAGGCCGGGAGCGTAATCTTGACACAGGATTGGTATGAGAAAAGAAGCCATGCAAGTGCCAGTCAACAATACCAGCTTAGGCAGTGTGGAGCCTGCAAGCTGTTTGAAGTAAAGCATGAACGCCAGGGGCCTGGAGAAAGCATCTGCAAGACAAGAAACCA